CCAGTCCTTTCCTTATGAATAACTCCTCCCTGTCGCGGGCCGGGCGTTTCGCCGGAGACTTCCTGCCTATTTATGAGCCTGAGGTAAAAAAAACTCACAAGATGTTCACAAATGGAGGGTGGCCCGTTTTCAGACTGTGGCTCTCGCCTTAGCGCAGCGCACAATTCGTCTTAAAAGTTTGCCAGAGTTCCACAGATGGGATTCGGTCCGTTTTCATGATGTGGCTCTCGCCTGAGCGCCGCGCAAATTCGTCTTAAAACCGAAAGAGGTGCCAAGGTGGACGACGGTCCGCTTTCAAAATGCGATTTCGCCTCAGAGCCACGTGCAATCGTTGCAAAAAACTCAGCAATTTCACATTTTGAGGACAGATCTTCTTGAGAGAACACGTTTCACGGGGGCTTGCCTTGGGAACATTCGGCGGCGCGTTTCAGACCGGGGGGTGGGCCCCCCCCCAACACTCGGCGCCGTCGATCAAAACCAGGGGGACTCCAAACCCCCAAACCCCCCCCTCCCGAATCCCCCCCCCTCCCAAAACCCCCCCCCCGCCTCCCAAGGGGCGAGGGGGGGGTTCAAAATCTTCCCCCCCCCCTCGTCGCCGGCGCCGGCGCTGGTAGCCGCCAGCAGCGCCCACCCACGGCGGGGACGCAGCGACGATGACCAGAGGCAGCCCAGGGGGGGGGCGGGGGGGTTCAAACACCCACCCCCCCAACCCAAGGGGGGGGGGTCAACCCCCCCCCTCGGCGCCGGCGCTGGCGGCGGCCAGCAGCGCCGGCCGGCGCTGGCGCCAGTGACGGTGGCGATTACCACGACTAGCACCACCAGCACCACCGCTTCAACCCACCACCACCACCACCAACAACAGCACCACACAACCACCATCACCACCACCACAGCCACCACCACCACAACAACCACAACCACCACCGCAACTCACCATCACCACCACCACCACCACAAAAACCCACCACCACCACCACCACCGCAGTCTACCACACAACCACCACCACCGCCACATCCACCACCACTACCAGCAGCACAACCCACCGCCATCACCCACAACCACACCGACACCACCACCATCACAAGCACCACCTCCACAAACCACCGCCACAACCACAACCCACCACCACCACCACCACCACACTACCACCAAACCACCACCACAACCACAACCCACCACCACCACCACCACCACAAACCACTACCACACCACCACCAAACCACCACCACCACCACCACCACCACCACCCACCGCCACAACCAGTACCACCACAACAAACCACCACGCCACCACAACCACAACCACTACCACCGCCACCACCACCACCACCACAACCCACCACCACCACCACCACCGTCGTCCTCGTCGACGCTCCCCGCCACCGCCGCCCGCCGCCGCAGGCGACGGCGCCGGCCAAGAAATGGAAATCGTCGTCCCCGCCGCCGCCGCCAGCCGCCGCCGACCCAAGCGCGCCGGCCCGAGGAGAGGGGAAGCAAGGGGGGGGGTTCGAACCGCCCCCCCCCCGCACGAAAGGGGGGCGGGGTTCGAACGCCCCCCCCCTCCGTCACGGAACGGGGGGGCGGGTTCGAACCCCCCCCTCTCCATCCACGGGGGGGGTCCGGTTCCAAACCCCAACCCCGCTCCAAGCGACCACAGAACGCGCTCTTTCCTCTATTTCAAAATGTGGCTCTCGACTGGGCGCCGCGCACAGTCTTTTCAACAAAAAATGCAAGCGTTTCACAGGTTCTCATGGTCAACGTACCAGAAGTGTGCTTTGCAACGATTCAAGATTGTCCGGGCGCAACAGTTACATTGATTCGCGGTGTTGAAATCCCAGAAAAGATGTTCTGGTACGATTCGGGACCGTCTAAACACAACAGTCAGCCTGGGCCGCAGCGTTGAAATCATGAGAATGGTTTTTTGGCACGTTTCAAGGTTTTCAAACGGTTGTGAACATAAACCTTTGTAGTGACATATGAACATGGAGTTTGGAGGAAGGGTACATTCCAACATCGTTGATGAATATCGAGTCTACACTGGCCTTCCTCCTCCTCCTCCTCCTCCTCCTGCTCCTCATCCTCATCCTCCTCCTCCTGTTCCTCCTCCTCCTCCTCCTCCTCCTCATCATCATCATCAGCATCATCACAATCAGCATCATCATCAAATTACCCTGCAGGCTAGATTTCAATGAGCTCACGACAGCCAATTCCCATTGTCATTATCCCTCCCGCCCTCCCTCCCTCCCTCCTTCCTCGACCCTCTCGATTCCCATCCTCCATCCCCCCAACAACTACACATTATGAACAGTTGTCCCCCCTCTCCTATGACTTTGTCCTGAAAATTTTAGGCCATCTCCGCGTACGGCATTTTGCACGAAAGCTAAAAGATGAGTTTCTGATTACCCAAGAACGGCTTGCACTTGGCGGTTCTAGCTTCTGTTCTGAAGAGCCGGGGGTGGTTGTCGGTCTGGCGGTTTCGTGCTCGCCGTCGCCGCCCCGTCGCCGCCTCGTCGCCGCCCGTCGTCTGGGAGGGGGTGTCGGTCTGGCGGCTCCCTGCTCGCCGTCGCCGCCCCGTCGCCGCCTCGTCGCCGCCCGTCGTCGGGGGGGGGTGTCGGTCTGGCAGTTCCGTGCTCGCCGTCGCCGCGCCGTCGCCGCATCGTCGCCGCTCTTGTGTTGGTTCGCATTGTTTCGCATTGTTCTGCGCTGTTTTGAACTGCGTCGCATTGCTGTGAACTGTTTTGCATTGCTTGGTCTTGGCTTGAAATGCGTTGCAACGTTTTGCGTCGCATATTTTTGCGCGCCATAGATTGCACAACATGGATTGAACCACACAGGCTGCGCCACATGAGTTACACAACTTACCTTGCAGTACAAAAACGGGTCAACGTATACTACAAAACATAGACACCGATGGCCCAACACGCATTGCACCACATTGAGCGTTTCACGTATCACGTAGATCGCACCACGTAGATTGCACAACCTGCAATACACACCATATAGCAAACAATACATAACGGAAATAAGTTCGATCATTCCTTCGAAGCCGGGATTCGATGCACCCCTCTGGGGATGTGCACTGTACCTACGATGATGCCCCATCGTTCACTCGGAATTTGAATCCATATGACCCCCGCCGAACCCGCGTCGACCTCCCCACTGTTCCTCGCCTGCAAAGAAACCACGACGGGCGCACACTGGCTCATCCCAAATCATCCGCCTGCAAGAAGCCGCCGCGCCCCCCAAAGAGTGCACCCGCGCGCGCGCCGTGGAACGCGCCTGCCGGAATCCTTCGAGAACCCCAGAGATCGTGCAAATGTCAAGGCCGCGCGTCACGGAAACATACTTCACCAAAAGACACGTGTCTTGACGGCGTCTTCAAATATGTATGTATATATGTATACTATTTGAATATATATATATATATATATACATATATATATATATATACATACATACATACATACATACATATATACATATATATATACACATATATATATGTGTATATGTATATCTATATATAAATAAACGAATAAATATATAAACAAAAAACTGCTAGCGCGCCCGTGCAAAATGCTTCCGCAAAACCTCATGTGTTCAAAAATGCTCATCCAATGCGTCCAGGCGGGCCTGTCGCGCGCGCGCGTGTCGAAATCGGCGGAACACCCTTGCGCACGTGTCAGAGGGGCACGACCCCTGTTAAAGAATACCTTGCTGGCCACTCACGTCCGTCGGCCGCGCGCGCAGGTCAAAGTCCGCCCCAAGCTTCCATCACCGACACGCGGGCACCACCGTCGTCATCGGTGCAATCAGCATCGGCGCCGTCATTGGCATTGCCATCGTCATCGTCATCGTCGCCACCAGCTTCTGTAATCATCCCGTCTGCCGTTGTCGATGTCACCATAATACCGCGCCCGCCCGAGTCACCGACTCGTACTGAAGTGCCCGCGTCAGCGCGGCCTGCGAGACGCGCTGGAAATTCCCAGCGGTCAGCGCCAACGCGGCCGCGTCGGTCGCGCCAGACTAGCTGGCCGCTCTGCGCGAGAGCCTGCGCGCGCTAGCGCGGCCGCAGCAATGCGCCAGCCAGCGACAAGCAGCCATCGTCATTCAGCATAGCGCTCTCGCCCGAACACGGACCATTTCTCTAGATTCGGGTCCTTTTTCAACGTTGTCGCCCCCCTCATCTCCCCTCCTCCGCCTTCCGCTGGTCATCCTACTCATCCCGCTCCTTCCACTCCAGTTCATGCTGCTGCTGCTGCTGCTCATCCTCGGTTTCCTCTTCCTCCTCCATCCTCAGTTTCCTCCTGTTCATCCTCCTGCTCATCCGCCACCCCCTCCTCCACCAGATATGCGCAGCTCCTGTTTTCCGATTGCGCATAACACGATGAGGTCCTCTTTGGAGATCCAGGTCCACTATGGCAGGCATCTGCGGATAGAGACAAAACAGCGCAATCAGGAGGAATGGGTGGGAGAAGTAGGACGTCAGGTGAGCGCACCTCGCTTGATCCCTATCCTCTCTCCCCTCCCTCCCTCCCTCCCTCCTCCCTCCCTCCCTGGTCCTCCCTGGTAACACTAGTCACACCACAACGCGGCTGTGCGAGCACAGCAAACGCGCGCCTGACAAGGATGTGGCCCAGTCCAGACATGTTTGATCTTCAAGTCGACCCTGACATCTAAACAGTTTCCCCGGAGTGGGGTCCACATCAGCCCCGCTATCCAGGCAGGGCGTTGCCCCGATCGGTGCTTGCACTGTGGGGCGCTGCCGCTGCAACTGTACGTGTGCCGGGCTTCTGGCGCGCCATCTCCGTGGCATTGGCCAGGCCCCCCCGGCGCACCGAGTCCCCCTCCTCGCCCTCCACCTCCCCCTCATGCTCCTTCTTGCTCCTCCCTATTCCTCCCTCCTCCTGGACCGCGTCTTGTTCATGACCCATGGCCCGAGACCTTCATCTGCTCCGGATGGTCCATGATCCTGACCATGGTCACGCCAGGCTCGATCGAGGGCTCGCGGTCCTTCTCCTGGGACTGAGAGAAGGCGGAGGAGGGGCGGGAAGAAGTGGAAACAGGAGGAGGGAGAGGAATGAAGAGGTGAGGGGATGAGAGGGGTAGGGGGAGAAGAAGAGGAGTACAAGAAGGGGGGAGAAGAAGGGAGGAGGAGGAGGAAGAGGAGGAGGAGGAGGAAGGACCAAAGAGTAAACCCAAGATGCATCAACGATGGTGCAATACACCCTCCCGTCCCAAGCCCCCTCCTCACTACTGCATACAAGCCTCCTTCTACACTTCAAGAGGCGCCCCTTTGAACGACCAGTACCCGATGGTCCTGCCATGCAGGCGAAAGCCCCGCTTGGAAAGGATTAACGGCCGTGCATATTTCCAGCGATGCTATAGAAGGAACGCGCTGAGGCATGGACATAGAGTTTAGAAGGAACCGCCATCGAGGAAGTCTAAAACGAAAACCACATATTGACAAGGAGCCCCCATCCATCCGTGCAGCTGTTACATCTGTTCAAGTTGTCCTGCGAACAACAGAAATAAAAAGAGAACGCCCAGCTTCACAAAAGAATCGCCCGTCACTTCTGCAGCTGTTGCATCTGTCCAAAACGTTTAAAAGCGAAATCCCCTGTTTGGAAAGGACCCGCCCACAACCCCTGAGTGACGGAACCGTTGAAGACGAATGCGCGCAGTGCCGCGGCGATAGCCCCATTTTGACGCAGAACCGCCCTCCCTCCTCGAAACTGTTGCAATGCGCGCGGCGATCGGGCGAAAGCCCCAGGTTGAAAACGCCCTCTCTGCACACCCATAAGCTGATGAAAAACTTGTAAACCGATGCGCGCGGCACTCCGGCGAGAGCCCCATCCTCAAAATCAGCCGCCCTCCATGCTTCAACATGCTGCAAACGTTGAAGACGATGTTCGCGGCACTCGAACGAAAACTCCATTTTGAGAACGACCCCTCCATCCGTGAAGCACCTGCAACATGTTCAGACGATTGTGCGCGGCACTGAGGTGACAATTTTGACCACCCACCCACATCCTCAACCAGTGAAACAATTACAAATTTCATGCTCCAGGATCATAAATCATGAGGAAGTCTGAAGCGAAACGCCTGGCCAGCCCGGCCGACACGTCTGGTGGTGGACGGGGGGGATCATTGGTCAGAAGTGTTAGCCAGCGTGGAACCCAAACAGTGTGTCTCTTGCAAGCAATGTTGTGCATTCTACGTGGGGCAATAGATATGTGTAACCTACGAGTTGCAATATATGTTGTGCAATGTATGTTGGCGCAGTCTATGTTGCGCAATGTTTGTGGAGCATCCTATGTGGTGCAATATAATAGTGCCCAACCTATGCTGTGCAACATATGTTGCGCGTATACGCGGTACCAACTACGTGGTACAGACGATGCGGTGCGCAATCTATGTGGTGCAATCGACGGGGTGCAATCCATGTGGTGAAATCTATGTTCTACAATATGTGTGGTACGGTACATATGTATATATAGATGTGCATACATACATGCATATACATATACATACACATACACATATACATATACATATACATATACATATACATATACATCTAAATATACATATACATATACACATATACATAAACATATACATATACATATACATGTGCATATATATGTATACCTATACATAAACATACACATATACATATACCATACACATATACATATACATATACATATACATATACACATACATATACATATACGTACACATATACATATACATATGTACATACACATACATATACATATACATATACATATACATATACATATACATATACATATACATATACATATACATATACATATACATATATATACACATGTGCATGTACATATACATATACGTATACATATACGTATACACATACATATACATATACAAATACATCTATATGTGTATATATATATATGTATGCCGGCCCCATTGTGGGGCCACCAGACTGTAGGCTCAGGGTTTGCTGTTCCCTGCACCAGTTCCAGTTTCCAGTTTCCACTGTTACAGGTCTGCTTCTTGTTGCTTACTGTTCCTTGTTGTAGACCGCGCGAGGGGGGGAGCCGAAAACCGCCCTGGTTAGCACCTCCCGGGAGGGGTTTCAGAATTTCTGGGGGGGGTCGAAATTGACACCCCTCACGAAGATCGGCGGGGTCAGGGTCCAAAAACACATGGGATTTGCCACATGTCTGAAATTCGGTGGCACCCCTCACGCAGATCGGCGGGGTCAGGGTCCAAAAACCCATCGGATTTGCCCCATTTCTGAAATTCGGTGGCACCCCTCATGCAGATCGGTGGGGTCAGAGTCGATCGAAAAACATCTGGTATTTGCAACAGTTCAATACTTCGTAGAAAAGCTTTTTGCACAGCATACGCGAGCAAGCTCGAAATACAACACCGAATTCAACAAGATCATAATCTTAATTTGTCTTGCCGATAACTCATCGTCTTCGCGTGAAGTCCCGACGCTGCTTCACGGCGGCGCCAAGGCCTCATGATTCCGCTCTTGCGCTGCCCATGATCCGAGAGAGGGGGCCGGCGGCAGGGGGCGAAGCCCTTAAGGATTTATACATATACATATACACATGTCTATATACATATATGTATGCGTATGTATATATATGTGCATATATATATGCTTATGTATAAATGTACATGTGTATATATGGATATGCATATATGTATACAACCATGTATATACATTATATGCAAGTATACATGTATATACACACGTGTATATGTATATATGTTTGTATAATGTATGTATGGGTTGGCGGCCGAGGGCGGCGAAGAAGAGGCGACAAGGCGGCGACGGCAACAACCAGGCGGCGGACCCGACAAACAAGCCCGGCTCCCTAGAAGATGACTAAGAAACCCCAAATTGCAAGCACTGCTTGGGGAGAAGGGATGGCGTAGGAGGAGGAGGAGGAGGAGGAGGAGGAGCGAGGAGCGAGGAGGAGGAGGAGGAGGAGCGAGGAGGAGGAGGAGGAGGAGGAGCGAGGAGGAAGAGGGGGAGCCTCCGAGTCTCCACTCCTTGGGCCGGCCCCACACCGCACTCAGGCGGGCGGCTCCCAGGAGCCGCGAGGAGGGGCCCCTCAGGCCGTGGCGGCGTCGGGGGCGGCCCTGGGGCCTCCCCGTCGTTGCCGTCGAAGGCGAGGGCGACCGCCGCTGCAGCGACGCCACGCGTGCCCGTCCTGGGCCATGGGCCGCGGCCAAGGCGCTACAGAAGCAGAACCTCCCCGCAGAGCGTCGACACAGGCGGGCCCGAAGCCAGGCCGGCGCCCTGCAGCTCGGGAGAGAGAGGGGCCCGCCCTGGCTGCAGGACCACGCGTCGAGCTGCGCGTGCAGCACCGCGGGCGCGGGCAGCGTGGGCCTCGCACCCGCCAGCCTGTGCTCGCTCGCTTCCACTGTGCGGGACGGGAAAATGACCACAGCCACTGCTTCTTGTTTGCGCCGCCTTCCAGCCGGCCGAAAAAGAAGCAGTGGTTGTGGTCATTTCCTTGGTGCCAAGCTCAACGAAAATGACCACAACCACTGCTTTGTTTCTGCGGGCTGAAGGCGGCAACAAAAGAAAAGCAGTGGCTGTGGTCGTTTTCACGCCCCGTACACTGTCTAGCTCCTGCAAGTCGGCCCTCCTCCGGCAGTGGCTGTGGCGGCCGAGGCGGGCGGCTGCGCGACGGCAGCGGCGGCGGCGGCGGCGCCGCCGCCGCCCCGCGGCTCGGCGCGGGGCGCAGCGGGGGCACGTGGAGCAGGAGGCGGGGGCGCGGGAAGACGCAGCAGCCGGCGACGGCTGCTCGACTCGCGCTGCTCCCTGGAGCTGCTGCCGCTGTCGTCGGGGGCTTCGCCGGAGGTCGAGTCCGAGTAGTCGTCGCCGAAGCGAAGCTCGAAGCCGAAAATTGGAGTCGCAGCCGTCGAGGTCGAACGGGCCGCCGAGTATGGAGGGCGCAGACGAGCCTGCCCAGAGATCGACAGGCTCCGCTACCAATGAAACTCTCGTAGTTCCCGAAATCTACGATGGCAATGAGGAGCCAAAGAATGAAAGAGGATAACATTTCTCATCTCGCGCTCGGTCTGACTCAAAACCCTATCCAACAATTGGGCCAAACGGTTGCGGTCGTTTGACTGCTGACACGATGCATGCTACACTCTGATCTACTCTTCTACTGCATGATGCACAGATGCACAGCGTATATGTCACACCGCCCTCGCCCCTTCCTCGTGCAGTTCGAAATATGAGAACTCTGCTAACTCGTCGTTTTTTGTTCGAATCACTGGCCCCAGGTATCCTCCATTTTCCCTTGACCACACCTCATCCAGAGTCGTACTTCGGCAGCCATGGGGCTCGGGAACGGCCACTGGACGCCGAAAGTGGCGAACGAACCCTGGTGTGATTCCCTCGAATCGCCAGGAGGTTCCTGAGCTACCCAAACGAAAAACGCTCAGATGCCTAGAGACATCTAGAAAGTGCCTTTTTTGTTCAAAAGAAAGATGACGAATCTCTCTTCCGGAAATTTCCAACGGATCCTCCTGACGACTCCAAGAGGGGGAGAGAGAGGGAGAGCACAAACAAAAACAAAACCAAAAAAACATAATAATAATAATAATAAAAATAATAAAAATGATAATAAAATAATAATAATAATAATAATAATAATAATAACAACAACAATAATAACAATAATAACAATAACAATAATAACAATAATAATCCAACAAAGTTCTGGGAAAGATGACGAATGTCTCTTCCAGAAAATTCCAACGGATCCTCCTGACGCCTCCGAAAGGGGGGGCGAAAGAGAGAGAGAGAGAGAGGAAACAAAAAAAAAAATGATGTCTCCTCACGGAGGCAACACGAAGTCTGCCCGAAACCCAAAACGAAAACCCGGGACGGCAGCCGCCCGAGGCCAGCCCCACTCCGACCCTCCGGGGCGCCTCCGCGCCGCCCGCCCGGATGCCCAGGTCCGCGCACCTGGCAGCGGCGGGGGCGAAGAGCAGGCAGGAGGGGAGGAGGAGGAGGAGGAGGAGGAGGAGGAGGAGGAGGAGGAGGAGGAGGAGGAGGAGGAGGAGGAGGAGGAGGAGGAGAGGAGGGGAGGAGGAGGGGAGGGAGGGGAGGGAGGAGGGGAGGAGGGAGGGAGGGGAAGGAGGGATGGAGGGGAGGGGAGGGAGGAGGGCAGGAGGGCAGGAAGGGAGGGAGGACAGGGAGGGGAGGAGAGAGGGAGGAGGAGGAGAAGGAGGAGGAGGAGGAGGAGGAGGAGGAGCAGGAGCAGGAGCAGGAGGGGAGGAGGGAGGGGAGGCGAGGGAAGGAGGGAGGGAAGCTAGGCGCGCTCGCGTCATATCTGACATCATACCCCTCCCTCCCATCCCTTAGCATGGCGTAGCTAACCCTCGTTTCGTACAATCAGATATCGAACAGGGCAATGATCGCGAGAGGGTACGCGATGCATGGTAGAGCACGGAGTGGCATGGCGTGGACGAGCACGGCAGAGCGTAGCATGCCATAGAATAGCGTGGCATTGCACAGTAAAGCATTGCATCACGAAACATTGCAACGCAAAGCATGGTATCGCACAGCGGCGAAGAACACAACGCCGCACAGCATGTCATGGCATGGCGCCGGGTTCCTTGGAGGGTACGTGGATTGTCTTCGAGAGGTCTGGGCCGGTCTGGAGTCGTGGTTCCATGTCTAGATCCTTGGGCTCCCCGAAAAACTCCACACAAGGCGGGGCTGATGGAGAGCACCCGCTGGCTCTGCTTTCAACATCGCCTTCTCCAAGCAGAATCAGGGCCCCGCTGGATACTTACTGAAAACGACGACGCTCCAAAGTGGGGAGGGGGGCTTCTGCGGCCCCCAAAACCAAAAAATCGGCACCGAATGTGAAATCAATTCCGAAGGTTTTTTCGGGGGGGCATTTTCTAGATGTTGGGGCCAATTCAGAAGGACCGAAAACGCCCGCGCTGAGGCGGGAGCACGATTTGGAACAACCAGAGACGCAGAAATGGGGCCAGCTTTTCAGCGGGTGCAAGATTTTGAACAAAGCCGGGAATCCTGTTTGTGAAAACGACACGCGGAGGGGAGGCTGATATCTTCCAGACCTCATCAGGGGAAAGAGGAGAGTAGTATTCACATTGTGTAATTGTGGAGGAGGAAGAGGGGGAGGGAGGAGGGAGGAGGGAGCGAAGGAGGGAGGAGGGAGGAGGGAGCGAAGGAGGGAGGAGGGAGGAAGGAGGAGGGAGGAGGGAGGGGAGGGGAAAGGGGAGGAGGGAGGGGAGGAGGGAGGAGGGAGAGGGAGGAGGGAGAGGGAGAAGTGAGGGAAGGCGCAGCACGGTCTGGGCCCGCCTCCCCCCCCGCCATCGGCCTCCTGCTCCTCCTCCGTCCTCCTCCTGCTCCTCCTCCTCATCACATCCTGTTCCTCCTCCTCCTCCTCCTCCTCGTCCCCCTCCTCCTTGTCATCCTCATCTTGCTCAACCTCCTCCGCCTCCGCCTCCTCCTCCGCCTCCGCCTCCGCCTCCTCCTCCTCCTCTTCCTCCTCCTCCTCATCATTTATTTGTTTACGTATCATAATTAGTCGTGTGTATATGTTCTTTTTCCTCCTCCTCCTCCTCCTCCTCCTCCTGATCCTCTTGCTTACTAGTCTTAGTATTTCTCTTCTCATCCGTATGTTATTGGTCGTAGCTTGCTTCTTTTTTATTCCTGATATAATCACTACTACTACTACTACTACTACTACTACTACTACTACTACTACTACTACTACTACTACTACTACTACGATGTTCAATCGTCCGTAATAATAGTATTAGTATGTTTAGTAGCAGTGGTCGTCTCAGCATTGGCATTATTATGTTTCGTAGTCGCGTTCGCCTAGTCAATGTTAAAATACGTCGTCTTAGTGTTAGCATTAGTGTCCGACGTCTTCCTAATATTACTACTCTTATGTTTGTTCGCATTGCTCCTAGTATAATTCGTCTTAGTACGAGTCGTAGTATGAGCACCACAAGTATTAAGAGCATGTGTACTATTATTCCTCCTCCTCCTCCCCCCCCCTCCTCCTCCTTGTCCTCCTCATCCTGCTCAACCTCCTCCTCCTCCTCCACCTCCTCCTCCTCCACCCCCTCCAGGGCTCTGGGAGGGGCGGGCGAGGACGCCATACGCTGCCACGACTCTCTGGGTTTGCTGGAGGGGCGCCCCGCAGAGCCTGGGGCACTGCAGGGTGCGGCGGGTGTGGGCGTCTCTAGGAGCACGGAGGGCTGGCCTGCGACCACAGGGCGCACTTTGGGCTTGTGCCAGCACTGGAGGGAGGAGGGAGGAGGGAGGGAGAAGGCAGGAGGAGCGAAGATGCTATTTCCTATTACGTCTCATCCTCATCCTCTTCCTCCTCCTCCTCCTCCTCCTCCTCCTCCTCCTCCTCCTCCTCCTCCCTCTCCTCTTCATCCTCCTCCTCCTCCTCCACCTCCTCCTCCTCTCCTCTCCATCTTCCTCCTCCTCCTGCTCCTCCTCCTGCCTCATCCTCCTCCTCCTCCTCCTCCTCCTCCTCCTCCTCCTCCTCCCTCCTCCCTCCTCCTCCTCCTCCTCCTCCTCCTCCTCCTCCTCCTCCTCCTCCTCTTTCCCTACCATCTTACCTCTGGCCGGAACTCCCAATCCGTCGCTCCTCCACCCTAATCCCACCAGCCCTCTGGGCGTAGGTGGTTCCGGGAGTTTCCTCTTCCAACCTCCTTCATCCCCTTCGGGGAGGGGTTTACCCCTCCCCCTAACCCCCTCCCCTGGACTTGGACGGGGGGGGCCGCCGGTAGTTAGAGCGTCCAAAACGGCCTCGGCGAGGAAGCCAAAATCATCGGTTGTACTAGGGTTTTGGCCCCATTTTGGCATCTTGGGGGGGCAAGGCTAATTAACCCCTCGCTCTTCTTTGATCGATCTCCTCCTAGATGGCCCCAAGAGGCGCCCAGGAGGCCCCAAGAGGCTTCCAAAAGGCCTCCAAGAGGCCCCAAGAGGCCGCCATGAGGCCCCAAGAAGCCCCCAAGAGGCTCCAAGAGGCTCCCAGGATGGTTCCAAGAGGCCTCCAAGAGGCTCCAAGAGGCCGCCATGAAGCTCCAAGAGACCCCCAAGAGGCCCCAAGAGGCCTCCAACAGGCCCCCAAGAGCCCCCCAAGAGGATCCCAAGCGGCCTCAAGAGGCCCCCCCGAAGCACCCAAGACGCCCAAGAGCCCCCATTGACCGCCAAGAGACCCCCAAGACGCCCGAAGAGGCTTCCAAAAGGCTTCCAAGAGGCATCTGAGCGGCATTCAACCATCCACCCAGCGCCATCATTCTCCTCATCCCTCCTTCGCTCGGTTCCTCGCCACCCCCTCATCTATCCATCTGGCCTCCTCTTCCGCCTCATCCTTTGCACGGATCGGCTGTCCCTCTCGTTGCTCCCCCACTTCCCTGATCTCTTCAACTTGCCTGGACATCGTTTCTGGATGGCCTGGTGGGGATACGCGAGGCGTCAAGAATTGAAGAATTGTTCATCCCTATCACTTCCACCAACGAACAGAGGCGGAGGAAGAAGCAAACCACGAGGGAAGAAAAGCGTCTCCTCCTCCTCCTCCTCATGCTCCTCCTCCTCCTCCTCCTCCTCCTCCTCCTCCTCCCTCCTCCTCCTCCTCCTCCTCCTCCTCCTCCTCTCTCTTCCCTCCCTCCTCCCTCCTCCTCCTCCTTCTCCTCCTCCTCCTCCTGCTCCCTGCTCCTCCTCTTCCTCCTCCTCCTCCCCTCTCCTCTCCTCCTCCTCCTCCTACCCCTCCTCATACCCCTCCCTCCTCCTCCTCCCTCCTCCTCCTCCTCCCATCCCATCCTCATCATCATCATCCTCATCCTCATCATCATCATCATCACATCATCATCATCATCATCATCATCATCATCATCATCATCATTCATCATCAATCATCATCATCATCATCATCATCATCATCATCATCATCATCATCAGTATCATCATCATCATCATCATCATCATCAGCATCAGCAGCAGCAGCATCATCATCATCATCATCATCATCATCATCATCATCATCATCATCATCATCAGCAGCAGCAGCATCATCATCATCATCATCATCATCATCATCATCATCATCATCATCATCATCATCATCATCACATCATCATCATCATCATCACCACCACCACCACCACCACCACCATCATCATCATCATCATCACCATCATCATCATCATCATCATCATCATCATCATCATCATCATCATAATCATCATCACCATCATCATCATCATCATCATCATCACCATCATCATCATCATCATCATCATCATCATCGTCATCCTCCTCCGTCCCTCTCAGTTTGCTGCGCAACTTCCTGTGACTGATCAAACTGTCTCTCTTTGTCAGGCGCGCTGGATCATTCAGCCTGGCGATTCGCCTCTTCGAACTCGGTCCAGCCAGTTATTGTTCAAGCAACCTGCGTGCTCTCGTTGGCCTCCAAATCGCCGCATGCTTCCGCGATTTCACCTGCGTGACTGTCGATGGCATGCGTCACCCTTCCGCCGGCATTTCGTGCGCCCATTTTACATGCCCACGCATGCCACCTGAATATCAACTCCTTGTCAGGGTCGAACATGGCCCGTGGATTTCACGCCGAGAGTTGGCCCTGGTTGTCCGGCGATCGTCACCCCACGCCGACGTTCTCTCTGTCACACGCGCCCTTGTCCGAGCATTGTCTCCTTCCCCCATCGCGCTCGTCAAGCTCTTCGCCAGGGGCCGCGTCGAATCTCATATGCGGCGGAGATAGCCGAGCCCGCTCTGATCCCCCAGCGCGTCCAGCCACTCAATGGATCTTGCTTTGCACTCGGCGCTGCGAGGCTCGCGGCGGGAACCCCCCCCGACGACGGCCCAGCATTGGCAAACGCCCTGGCGCGGCTCCGAAGTCTGGGCAGTCTGACAATTTCACAACTATGCCTCTTAACATGCGCGGC